CTACACAATCTTTAATTCGAAATCCAGATATATTTGAAATATTTAATATGAAATGTTCAGAGCCTAGTTTCTCATTAATTAGAGAAAAATCATGTTTGCAGCTCGATGATGGTCAATTTATTGTAAAAATTGGATTAATAAATAATATAAATTATTTACTTGATTTCTTAAAACAACGGCAACAAAAAAAATAATAGAAGGTAGTTATGCTGATGCAAATCCTAGTTTATCTTTTGATTTTATTAACAAACATCCATTGTTAAAGAACTTGGTTCTTTATTATCAACGAATTGATAATGATAATAATAATAATGAAGATAAATATTGTTTTTTAAAAGAGTTTATTGATACAATAACTAGCAATTTAACAAAGTCTGGGACTGGTTTTCGATATAGCGACCAAATCAAGAACTTTGCTTTATCATTATATATACTAGGTGGAAAATTAACATATGAATTCATTCGATTAAATTTGCCAGGCTCTACCGAATTTAACTATGTTAAATAAATTAATTTCCAAGTCAGATTCAAAAATTAATGAAGGAGAATTACGATTTGATCAACTTCAAAAACATTTTGATCAACTTAATATTCAATATGCATTCGGCTCTGAAGATGCTACCGGTATAATCAAAAAAAAATAAAATATGACTCAACAACAAATACATTCAATGGGTTTTCTACACCACTTGATTGTGGAGTACCGATTAAAGAATATTATCAAACTGATTCATTTGATACATTGAGAATCTGGTTTAATTCAATTGAAAAAGCATCATTACTCAATGTACATATGGTTCAGCCTATTGCAGCTTCAAATCAAAGTATTATTCCAAGTCCTTTTCTACTATCAGCATATGGAATTGATAATACCGCTACAGCAAATGATATATTACAAAGATGGTGGTATATATTCAACCAGTGTTTACAAAGAAATATAAGAATTATTGGTTTTTCTACTGGTGAGAAAATAACTAAATACTGTTAATTCAAATCTTACAAAAGAGTAACTTTTTTTTATAGATGCTGATGCTAAATACGTACGCGCTATGAGATTAATGAGTGGTTTTTTCGGATCTCTCCCTAATTTTCAAGTTCATCGACATCCACAAGCTTTTGAAATAAAAACAACATCACATTGGCCTTGGTTTTATTTACGTGAACAACAGGTTTTATTATTTTTTCAAGACGCAACACATTTGGTAACCAAATGGCGTAATCGTTTAT